TTTAGACCAGATTGTTAGCTCTCAATAATCCTCCCAGAAAGCTTCATGGAAACACCAGGTCTTCCATAAATGTCAGCCTGTGATGCTTGGCCCTTTTTACCCTCTCCGTTGTAGAGAAGCAGACTAGAGGCTGCTCCTCCTTCTATCTTACCACTTTTCCTTTCTTTCTTTGCTGGAAAACTGCAGCAGACAGCTGAGGGGAAGGAAAAACCATTACCTGGATCAAGGCCAGTGGTTTGATGAGAGCTTCAAAATCTTTGGCATCTCCTGCCCAGAATGTTTTTCCAGGCATTTTAAAAAGAGCATCCTTACTCTCCTCTCCTTTAAACCTTCCAACTTTGACTTCCAAAGGGGGAGGGATGGGTAGAATAAGCCCTCAGAATGTACTTTATATCTTCCTGCTCTTCTTCTAACTAAAGCTTTTAGGAAGAGGTTAGCAGTGATAAGCAAAATCCGATGGGCATATATATTTTTAACTACTCTGTACAGCTTTCTGGCACAAACATGTTATTTTTCTTTTTTCAAGTGGACATGAGCAGTTTTGCAAGTGTGTTCAATTTAAAATAGTCATTTAACTTGAGGTTGAGGCAAAAGCAAGGAATTTTTGTTGTAAGTTAGTCAAACATATATAGCTGTTGATCTTGGATTGTCATTGAACAAATAATAAAATATACTGATTCATTTTATTACTTGTGTAGCTCCTGTGGGGAAGAATACAGTCATCCCTCAGTGTCTGTGGGGGATTGGTTCCAGGACCTCCCGCAGATACCAGAATTCAAGGATGCTCAAGTCTCTGCTATAAAATGGTGTAGTATTTGCATATGACCTCTGTGCATCCTCCCTTATATTTCAAATTATTCCTAGATAATTAATACTTCCTAATACAAGGTGAATGCACTGCTGGCAGTTATTATACTACATTGTTTAAGGAATAAATGACAGGAAGAAAAGTTTGTATTTGTTCAGTACAGGCGCAGTTTTTTTTCTGAATATTTTTGATCTGTGATTGGTTGAATCCATGGATGTGGAACCACGGTTACAGAACCACAAATAACGAGGGACCAACTGTCATTAGGTACAAAAACCAAATGAGTGGCAAAACAAAACGAAATGCCCCCAACTTCAAAGTGGCAGAATCACATTTTCATACTTTTCTGATGACCAAGTTGATATTATCTAATTAGTTAAGTTTAATTTAGGGCAGTGAACTGGGTGTTATTGTTTATAGTGTACTTTTAACCAGCTGAGTAATTTTTAAGTATATTGGAAGTTGTCAGTAAATTTATGATCATGAACAATCTTCATTCCACAGCCTTTTGAAGGGGGTGGGTGAAATGGTCACAGTTTCCTCCTTGGGCATTTTTTGGAGAATTGTCTCTAAAGTTAATCGTCAGTTTAATCCCTTGTAATGAGTTCCCAATATGGGGTATTGCTTTAGGAAATAACCTCTCTAATGAAAGTGTTAAATATTAGTTTGCAGCCTGTATAAGAATTGTCTGAGTCCTTGGGGCTGGTTTCCCACAGGGTGGGACTATCTGACAAGTATTTCCAAGAAATAAGTGCTCCTTACAGGAAGTGCAATGCAGGTTTGTGAATTCATGCTGTACCTACTTAGACAGATAGCTAGGTTTACAATACAATAACTTGTAAATTATCAGGTGTCAATATGGTAGAGAACTCACTTTTTTCAAATCTTGAAATAAGGGTTAAACTGATTTAATAAGTCATTTCACTGATAAAGTAAGTCGCTTTGTATATTTGCTCAATTTAGTATGTTGATGGCTAACATGCTACAAATATCGGCAACAATGGAAACGTAGGATTTCTGTCTCAATAAATATTAAAATAACTTATATACTTATGTGTATTCTGTCTCCTTTAGCATTGCAGAGGCTGAGAGAATTTGGAGTTGCCTAATTATTTTTGGCATGGCATAATTTACAGTTTTCTAGTAGCACAATTCATCTTATCATTCTGTGCTACTGTTCTTGGGAATGTAAGACAACAGTCACTTATATTTATTTCATTGTCTTCACTCACAGTACAGAAGTAGCTCCCTGTAAGCCATTTCTGGCAATGTAGTTGTTTTTCTACTGGTAACTTCAAGGCTAATTTGTTATATTGAAATGGCTACTTATTGCCCATTTTGATAAGGACTTTAATAGTAGGAAAACAGTTCACTTGTTCTTTCAGATTCCAGTACTTTCTTATGAAGAGGACCAAGTGGTTTCTTTCCAAGTGTTTGAAGTCTATATTGAAGTGTTTTTAAGTTTCAGGTTAATTTGATCAGGATTTAATGATCTTATATACGTATGATTTATATTTCAGAAAGACCTTTGAGGTTTTCTTTGGTTTTAAGCTGCAGACTATGCTTGAGGGCAGCAGTGTAGTATTTTGGCATTTGATGGTATTGAGGAGACCTAGGATACACTGAAGGGTCTGAGTAACATGCTCAAGGACTCTGAAGCAGTGTATAGAAAATATCTGCTGAAGGGAGTAGTACCGATCCTACTCCCTTCAGCTTAGAATAACTCCAAATCATGATTTCCCCTGAAAACTCTTTGCCTAGCAAGCTGTAAATGACTTCACATATGATATATCAGTAAGTATAATCTTTAGAAATATTTTATTTATTTATTTACTTTAATTTTTTGAGACAGAGTCTTACTCCGTTGCCTAGGCTGGAGTGCAGTGGTGCGACCTTGGCTCACTGCAACCTCTGCCTCCCAGGTTTAAGTGATTCTCCTGCCTCAGCCTCCTGAGTGGCTAGGATTACAGGTATACACCACCATACCTGGCTAATTTTTGTATTTTTAGTAGAGATGAGGTTTCACTCTGTTGACCAGGCTGGTCTTGAACACCTGACTTCAGGTGATCCGCCCACCTCAGAGTGCTGGGATTACAGGAATGAGCCATTGTGCCTGGCCTTGGAAATACTTGTAGATTAGAAACTATAGAATAGAAGAAATCCAACTGTCTAATCACCTACTATAGCAATTTATAACTGTGAGATTTACAAATTGCTACAGTAGGTGATTAAAGGGATAGAATTCCCTGGGGGAATTTTCAAACTTCACATACCACTCCTACTCCCACTCTTAGAGGCTTTCCGGGATAGGGGCTTGAGACATGAATCTATTTTAAGAGTCCCTGCCATAACAAACCACAGTTACTCCTCTTCACAGGTGTTTGTCATCCTTCAGATGAGAAGGGACAAGGAGAAAGTGAGAGCCACTGACGTCGCAAGTATAGCTCATTCTTTTCAAGAGTCCCGTTTTGGGGAACTTAACGCTGGGGTCTCTTAGAATCACCAGCAGAGCTTATCTCTATAACCCTTCATCAGAAGATGGGGCTTTCCACCAGCAAGCAGTTTAGAGAGGACTCATCTGCCTGTGGTCAGGTGCAACAGTGATAACATGGTACATGGGACCTACACGATTCTCAATGTCTTTTTTCTGGGAATGTGTAATAATAACAGTGGAAAGGGCTGCTGTGCCACCTGACTGATGGGTTAGTATTCATGGCCAAAAGGCAAACGTGCCAGAGTGTCTCCTTGGTGTTCTGTGGAATTGTTGCTCTGCGGGAAAGAAAATAGAGAACATCACCCTAACATGGCTGTCATGGTAGCAGCCTCGGAGATGAAGTAAGGTTTCATTTCTGCCCTCTTAGTCCCTTCATGTGTTGTGTTTGTGTGTGTGTTTTAATTAAAAGGGACAGGTTTCTCAAGTGTGCCTGGTTGGAGTGAGGCTTGTTTTATATTTGCTTTCTCTAATCAAACAAACTTACGCTGTCTTTCTCCTGGTTTTAGTATAGCAAACATGGGAAATCTTGCCCCAGGCAGATTCCTTTATAGCTAGTTGACCCAAGTTGTGCTCCTATTTATTTATTTTTGATGACACATCTTGATTAAAGGTTTCCAATCCACCTTTCAGCTCTTCCATGGAACCAGCCAGGAGGGAGAACTGGTCAGCTGCTTATCACCAAATAAGCTCCCTGGTCTGGCCTGGGGAACAGTGGGATTCACAGGCGTGGGTGACTCAGAAAACTGGGCCCAGCAGAAATGAACCTCTAGTTTCTTTGCTGAGAAGGCTTGACCAAACACAGTTTTATTGGTCAGTGGCTCCTGCTTTAGTAACCTTTCACCCCTGTGGCTCTTGGAGGTGCAAGCCACTGGCCAGACTTGCCTTTGAACTCCTCATGGCTCCTGCCACCTCAAAGGCTCCCAGTCAGAGGCTGGTGTTTTGCTAGGGACCTCACCTCCCAGCAGGGTTTCAGCAGTTGGGAAAACCGATCCACCCTTAGAACATTGACATATTTGAAGGTGATACCCCTGAGACTTGAAACCTAGGGCTTTCTATTTCAGGAGCTGTCTGTCACACGCCAAGAAACATGACTCAGGCTTCCCCTTTTCCCTTCTTGACCCCTTCTTGTTTCCCGGAGGACAGGAGGTCATAACATGGGAGCCTTCCCTCAGAGTATTCATGAAGTCCGCTCTTACTGTCAGGCTCTTTCACCCCTTATTCTTCTAACTTTCCCCAAGTGGCATTTATTTCGAAAGTAAGTTTTTTTGTTTGTTTTTGATTTTTTTTTTTAATAGGGCAAAAGCATGCAAATGGCAAACATCTTTGGTGTTTGGGAACGTAGTGGTGAAGATGGTTTAGTGAGTGTCGTGTCTGTGTGCTCAGTCCTAAGCTTTCAGATCACGGAAGTCCTAGTTATGAGAGAGCCCGGCTGTGGTTTTCTTTGCCTTCTTGATTCCATTCCATCTTCAGAAAAAAACTAGATTTTGCAGGAAGACGTAGAAATAGCATGGATTGTCCTCCCACATCTTCTTGGGTTCTTGCCCGAGGAGCAGAAGTGAAAAGTTTTGGTATTTAGAGGCAAATTAAGCTATCCCTATTAAATGACTTCAGTATAGCTTCTTTGGCAAGAAATCAGACATCTCATTCTAAAAACATTGAGTAGAAAACGCCTCTTCTGCTCTCTTCCTTTCTCCGCCATCGTGGTGTGTGCTTTAGTCCGTTTCTCACCATGTCTTCTCACAAGACTTTCAGGATTAAGCGATTCCTGGCCAAGAAACAAAAGCAAAATCATCCCATTCCCCAGTGGATTCGGATGAAAACTGGTAATAAAATCAGGTACAACTCCAAAAGGAGACACTGGAGAAGAACGAGGCTTGGTCTGTCAGAAATCACACATATTCATGCTGTCCCAAGGTCACAATCGAGTGTTACTAAACCAAGCTATCGGGAGACGTTTGAATAGATTCCTTTCTCTATCTGTTATGAAGGCATTAGTTAGTACAACCCACAGTGCTTCCATTATTCATGTTTAAAAAAAAAAAAACGTTTTGGTTGCCTGGGTTCAGTAATAAATATGTGAGACCTTTCACTTCAAAAAAAAAAAAAAAAAAAAAAAGCCTCTTCTATTCATGATGCCTTTAGCATAGAAAAGGAACAAATAATATCCATTGAAGTCTTTGCTTTTTTGCAATTCAAATAGAATATTATTGATGATATTATAATACTACCTTTAGTAGAAAGGACAGTCTGGCAAGGTCTCTTTCTGCCTTAGAGCAAAGTTTAAGTTTTTAGAAGAGTTATCAGAAGAGTTAGGCCTATATCTACCGTTGTCTTTTTCTGTGGTCGTGGGTGTTTTCGTGAGTAGGGTCATGAGCTCACGTTTCACAGTTTCAAAGGGAAGGACCACATTAACATTTATGTTAACTACTGTGTCTGGTACTGTGCTAGAAGCTTCCTCCTGAAAAACTGATAGGTAGCTATTATTCTCATTTTAATAAAGGAGCAAAGTGAACTTTAGAGGCTGAGTACCTGGCCTGAGGTTATAAAGCTTAGGTGACAGACTCGAGATTGGGAAGAATTTTGGCATATGACTAAAAAGTATGAACTTTATTTATAAAGCTCTATTTTTTCCCCTTGTTTAGAGTACTCTTGAACTATTATAATCATCTAAAATATTTGTAAAATGCCTACTTTGGGTAATATACTGTACACAAGTTAAGAGTTGTACAAGCTGTAGTTCTTGTTCTCAAGTGGCCAACATTTTTGAAGGAAGGGGTATGTGCTGTCGATTCGTGTCTTTATGAGTTTGCTAGAGCTGCTGTCACCAAATACCATAGACAGGTGGCTTAAACAGCAGAAATCTGTTTCTCACGGTTCTGGAGACTGGAAGCCCAACATCAAGGAGTCGGCAGGGAAAGTTTCCTCTGAAGCTTCTCTGCTTGGCTTGCCGATGGCTGCCCTCTTGCTGCCTCTTCCCACATCATCCCCCCCATGTCCATGTACCTCTGGTGCCACTCTGCATGTCCAAATTCCTCCTCCTTAAGAACACCAGATTGGATCAGGGCCCATCTTAACAGCCTCATTTTCACTTAATCACTGCTTTGAAAAGGCCCTGTCTCTAAATACAGTTACGTTTTGAGGTGCTGGGGTGAGGATATCAACATGTGAATTTGGGGTAGACAATTCAGCCCAGCCCCAGGTCTGTATAAAGTATAAGAGCCAAAGTCATTAGTCTGAGAAAGGGTTTTGCTTCTGAATGGAGTGACCTCTGAGGTGTTTTCTCCTAACTACATTCTCAACTCCTTTTCAAGTGTAAGCAGTTGTCATGGTGTAAGGCCAGGCAGCGGGTAGGAGCCTGGGAAGAGGGGCGCTGTTACTGCCACCCATTGCATTTCAGGTTGAAACACTGAATTGGCTTGTTGGGCTCACTCCGAATTTGTGAGGCAGCTCTGCCCTGGATACCTCATCTACAAGACAGGACTTGTGCTCCTGCTTCCCTGTCACCACAGGATAAGTTAGATTCCTAAACGCGTCTATTAAGCCTAATAAATGCTCAGTTTTGTTTTGTTTTGTGGTATCAGTGGAAAGACTCTTGGAGGTGCCTTTTTTTGAATTGAAAGGTTGCATATCACAGTTTATGTTTTCATTCCAGAAAGGGAAGGTTGAAGGTTCAGGATTCTACACTAGATTGAGAGCTTCAGTCCTTTAACAAATGCTTGAGAATTTTAAAAAGATTTAGTAATACAGAAACTCTCTTGTAATAAAAGCAGTTCTTCATTTTTACACTCATGTCATTCAGGATGGTTGATTTGGGGGATCAGAGGACAGAAGGGTGGCAGAAGAAACAGATTTATGAAAATAACGTATTTCTATCCCTAAAGAGAGATTGAAAGTTTATCCCTGTAACGTTGCATGCCTGCCATTTGTTGCCTCACCTAGAAGCATCAGCTAGATAAACCCACCCCAGCACATATTTGTACACCCTGGTTCTCTGGATCAGCCCAGGTGATGGAGTGTTAATGTAGTAGTAAATTGTAATAAAGAAGAAATCTTTTCAGCATTTTTTTAAAAGCTTTTTTAAAATTGCAGAATTATCATCTCCTTGGCCCAGATAGAGTCATGGATCTTCCCTACCTCTTTTGTATGTTTTTCAGAGCACTGGATTCTCCTTGACTAGTAGGCAGGGCACAAAGTGTTTAGAAGATTAAGGAGACACAGAGGCTTCTCAGTTTATCTTCTGTAAAATATGTAAATAATTTTTTCTGATGTTTTGATCCATTGATCGATTAGTAAAGCAGAGTTTTCTAATACCACAATTCTTTAATAGCAGCCATATTACATGCATTAATTATTAACGGACTAGGAAGATATCTGGTGTTTTTTTTTTTTAATTGAGCATTTTCCTCCTTGTACTCTGTGTTACCTTTTTTTTTTTTTTTTTGGTAGCAAATTTGTTGGCATAATTGGGGCATTCAACATTTAAAATTTTTGGACCTGAGAGAAGAGGTTTACCTTTAATCAAGTGTTAGTTTCTTTTATCCAGCAGCAAGCTACTATTTTTAGGTGCTGTAGGATCCTCCCTATCTCCGAGGAAGTAACTCTCAAGGGAATTGTACGCTGAGCATCACGCTTGGAGCAAGGCACGTTGGAGTACTAACAGTGGCATGAGAGTTAGCGGGACAGCAGTCACGTGCATCTGTTTCTATCCTGTCCTTTTCAGGATTCTTAGTACATGCCTTTGGACAAGTCACTTAGCTTTCAATGTCTCCATTTCATCATCTGTTTATTTTTATATTCTCTAGTAAGGACTAACTCCCAACTATGTTACAATAAAAGAAATCAAGGTAGAAAGAGACTAGGGGTGAACGTGGGTATTATGTTATCTAGACAACTGCTCCCTAAATGTTGTTGAGGAAACTTCTTGGTTATTGTTATTCTCAGAAGGGTCTTCCAACATCATTCAAGATAGACACATAACAGTCCTTGCCACTGTGTTGGGTCAGAGGTTAAATGCCTCTCTTAAATTAGCCAAGAGCATATAGGACTATGCCTGAGAAAGGGAGGCTTCTGGAAAAATTGAACTTCATGGAGCGTTAGGAGTCTTGAAGTCACTGACTGATTCTTTCAGGAATCTGTGTAGGACCATAGCCCAGCAAGCACATGCCCCAGTGTTACCCAAGGTAAATCAGGAAGTCTAGAGAAAAGCAGGACCAGTAAACCCCCATGAACCTGTCAGTGGCTCAATTTTCTTATCATAAAATAGGGATAATTTCCTTGGGTTGCGAGGATTCAGTAAATTAATACAGGTAAAACACTTAAAATAGTGCCCAGTACAAAGTAAGTACCTAATTTAATCAACAGATATTTATTGAGCACCTGCTTTCTTCAGGTACAGTTCTCAGTCCTATAGATGCCACAGTTAACAAAACAGACAACAAATCTCTGCAGGCTTGGAACCTCCATTCCGCTGGGAAGAACAGGTGTTAGATGATGCTGATGGTGATGATAGTGAGCATTGTCATTATCTGAGGTCACAGATGTTGGAAGCAGAATGAACTGTGAGCATTAAGTTCACTTTTTCACCCTTTCTCCAGGGGCATTTGTCTTTTACACTGAGGTAAATATGTTTTTTGGGAAATTCCTGTGTTTAAGATGGTTTCTAGGTTGTTTGTCTTGCCTTTTTTTTTCTCTGTGTTCCTTCTTTTTTTTTTTTTTTTTAAATCTAATTGCAAATTTACTTGTCTATTCCAAACTCCATGGCATAACTTAGAGAAAGACAAGAGTTTGGGATTGAGTGCAGTGGCTCAGGCTTGTAATCCCAGCATTTTGGGAGGCTGAGGCAACAGGATCACTTGAACTCAGGAACTCAAGACCAGCCTGGGTAACACAGCAAGACCCCTTCTCTACAGGAAAACAAAACAAAACAAACAAAAACTTAGTTCAGTGTGATGATGCATGCCTGTAATCTCAGCTACTCGAGAGGTTGAGGGGGAAGGATTGCCTGAACCTGGGAAATGGAGGCTGCAGTGAGCTGTGACTGTGCCACTGCACTTCAGCCTGGGTAACAGAGCAAGACCCTGTCTCAAAAACCAGTGGAGTTTGGAATCCCCATTCTTCGTTTGCCTCTATTTGTCCCATGTTCTAGCTCTTTTTTTTGTAACCTTTCTCTGATGATACAGGTTTTTAAACTATAGGAATCAATTATGTAATCCAATGCCATATAAGCTTGTAAAGAGCTTGTAAATACATACTGAATCTTGAAAATAAAACTTGCCTAAAAACTCTCGTGAACTTACATGAGTACACTATTTTGATATCAGAAAGTATTGTCTTGGAGTTAATCATTTAGACCAGGCTTCCCCAAACTTTTTACACAGGGGGCCAGTTCACTGTCCCTCAGACCGTTGGAGGGCCGCCACATACTGTGCTCCTCTCACTGACCACCAATGAAAGATGCGGCCCGCGGGCTGTAGTTTGGGGACGCCTGATTTAGACCTCCTACCTACATTTTTGTCATTGTTAACGAATATATGTTTTAGCCGTTTTCTCTGGTGGAACTAACTGCATGTTAATTCTTTAATTACCCCCCGTAAATATAAATACTGAGACTGGAGATGAAAGGAAGTAATATGCTTCGAAATGGATGACATGTGCTTATATATGGGCCTTTGGGAATTTTCCAGGCCGCTCTGTTTGAGAATAGGATTTGAGTGTTGGTCCATGTATTTTCTTGTTTTTCTAACCTTTGAGTGACTCATAGTTTTGGATGTAATAATAGATCTAGAACTCCCCAAAATTAAACTACACAGAGAGGAAGTTGTTGCATATTCAACTTTTCATATGTGGATGGGGCTACTGCTGATGTTGAGAGTTCTTCCGAAGTTCTTTGGAACATGCTAGGGAAACATGGCCTGGCAGACTGTAGAGAGCCTTTTTTATCTCAGCACCAGCGAAATGGGATTAAACTGGAGTAGGTTAAGAAATGGTTAACAAAAATGCTAGGAGTGGAGAAAGTTAGATTTAAAGGAGCGGGATCTTTGTAGCTAACCAAGAGGTAAGGTCCTGAGCAAATTGTCAAAATCCTGAGAAGGGCAAAAGAGAGAAATAAGGTCCATTTAATACGGCACAGAGTTTCATAATTGTGTTTGTTTGTTAATAGTAAAACTTTTTTTCCTTGTCACTACTTATGTGCCAACTGGGTAGAGACTATTTTTAAAAAGACAAAACCACAATAATAAACAACCCACTGTGGATTCCACGTTCTTATATATTTTTTAGAAGGATGGAAATGTGGGATAAGATAAAAAGAAAATTAAGATTAAATCCTAGGAGCGATTCATTCCCAGTGAGAATTATTGGGCTCTATAGGAGATCCTGGGAAGAAACGAAGTATGTGTTCGCTAGGGTGTGATACACTGGATCTTGCACTGGACAGTGGCTACATTTAAAAGGGTTCTCAGCTGTTCCTCTGGAACAACACAGCTTAAAATAGTGTCTCTACTGGTCAAGCCAAGTCTAGTCTCGCCTTGCTGCTGCTGAGAAAAATTAATTGTGATGTTAAAGATAGAGTTTTCTCTCCTTAATCCATTTCTGATTTGTCGGGACACATGGGCCTTATTCTAGAAGAAATTCAGGATGCTAGTGTAAAGAAGCTGTAAGAATCCACAGACCCATTATACAACAGCTGTAGTATTTATGGGCAGGTTTCTTGAGTCCCTGCCCATAGGTGAGAGCTAGTAAATTTTGCTTAACATTGTGTGCCAAACAGAGAGTTTTTGATTTGTCTGAGAAGGTACGTTTTTTCCCCCATAGAATTACAGTGCGTCAGAGAATAGATGCTGATTGTTGTGAAAAATTAAGTGTCAGATGAATTAGAAAAGAACTAAGGCTAGTTTAAAGGAAGAGATGAAAAATAAAGTACAGATAGGCTTTTTTTTTTTTTTAATTAATAAACTTTAGATTTTTTTAGAGCAGTTTTAGGTTCACAGCAAAATTGAGCAGAAACTACTCGAAGAGTTTCCGTATGCCCCCATCCTCATAGTTGTCCAATGTACCCCACTATTTACACTGAATACCACAGTGATACATGTCTTACAGTTCATGAACCCACACTGGCACATCATTATCACATGACGTCCATAATTTATATTAGGATTCACTCTTGGTATTTTATATTGTATGGGTTTGGACAAACATGTATCTGCCATTGTAATATACAGAATAGTTTCATTGCCCTAAAAGTCCTCTGTGCTCTACCTATTAATTGCTCCCTTCTCCCATCTCTTGGAAACTACTGATCTTTTTACTGTCTCCATGGTTTTGGCTTTTTTTTGAAGTCATATAGTTGAAATCATACAGTATGTAGCCCCTTCAGTTTAGCTTCTTTTACTTAGTAATATGCATTTAAGTTTCCTCCATGTGTCTTCATGGCTTGGTAGTGTGGGTAACTCCCCATATTGGCACCGAGGAATAAAAGCGAAGCAGAACCCTGGCACTGTTAGGGCTTAAAGAATATCTCACTTTATAGTGTTACTACTCAGCTATTTCCTTTTATATAATCCTTTACATAATCATATATTAGTTTATAGAAATAGGGCTTGACAAATCCCTTTCTATAATCCTCTCTATATAATCATATAATAGTTGATAGTATGAGTGCCTAAAAAATATTTCCCGGCCGGGCGCGGTGGCTCAAGCCTGTAATCCCAGCACTTTGGGAGGCCGAGGCAGGTGGATCACAAGGTCAAGAGATCGAGACCATCCTGGTCAACATGGTGAAACCCCGTCTCTACTAAAAATACAAAAAAGTAGCTGGGCATGGTGGCATATGCCTGTAATCCAAGCTACTCAGGAGGCTGAGGCAGGAGAATTGCCTGAACCCAGGAGGCGGAGGTTGCGGTGAGCCGAGATCGCGCCATTGCACTCCAGCCTGGGTAACAAGAGTGAAACTCCGTCTCAAAAAAAAAAAAAAAAAAAAATTTCCCTACATATATATCTATAATTATATCTTAGTTCATAATCGGAGGAATGCCTAGAATGGACACAGTACAAAGCATAAATTAAGGAATAAGCAGCTTATAATCGGAGGAATGCCTAGAGCAGACATAGTGCAGAGCATGATTTAAGGGACAAACAGTTATACCAGGACAAGAATCCATGGTCCAGACGGCAGCGTTCAGTATCCTAAAGATACCTGCTGTATAGCAGGCTTGGGGCGAGAGCCACTCCTCTTAATAAAGGAATGGTAGGACTTTGCTCCAGTTATTGTGGAAGGCTGCCCTCAGACCGGCAATCCACCTTGGTAACTGTAAACTTTATCAGCTCTTGCTACTGTGCTGCTTAAAAAGCATCTTCCCATAAAACCCATTAGAAGCTTCCAGAAGGTGGCGGTAACCTTAACAGCTCTGTCACTGCTATGTAACTTAAAGCATTCTCCTATACATCTTCTTAAAAATAGTTTGCCCATAAATAGAAGTATTGCACACTGCACCCTCTTTACTGTGCACGACCCACCTTCAAGCCTCAGTGACCTAATGGGGGTGAACTCCTTACTGCACATGGCCCTTACCTTCATGGGAATGGGCCCCTTGCTGCGTACTGTCCACCTCCCAGCCTAGGTAACCTAATGGGGGTGGACCCCATGTTTTATTGCTCACGACCCTATCACTACCCTTAAAGATGATTTCACTCACTGCCCTGCCCCCAACCTATACACAATAAATACTCATGCTTCTAAACATTCGGGGCCTCACCTAACTCCACTCATAGGTGGTGTGGCCCCCCAAGCCCAGCTGCATTTTCTTTGTACTTCTGTGTCCTGTTTCTTTATTTCTTGAATCCCGCACCTCAGCACAGCATAAGGCTCACCCCACAACCCTGTGGGGCCCTCAGCCCTACAGGTAGCTCATTTCTTTTCAGTGCTAAATAATATTCCATTGTCTGGATGTACCATGGTTTATTTGTTCAGCTCCTGAAGGGCATCTCGATTCCTTCCATGTTTTGTATATGAATAAAGCTGCCATAAACATCTGTGTATAGGTTTTTGAGTAGACATAAGTTTTCAGTGCATTTGGGTAAATGTCAGGGAGCACAATTGCTGGCTTGCATGGTAAAAATACGTTTAGTTTTGTAGGAACCTGGCAAACTATCTTCCAAAGTGGCTGTACCACTTTGCATTCCCATCCAGAATGAATGAGAGTTTCTGTTGCCCTGCATCTTCACCAACATTTGGTGTTGGATTTTGGCGACTTTAATAGGTATGTATTTGTATCTTATCATTGTTTTAATTTATAATTCCTTAATGATATGTGATATTGAACATCTTTTCATGTGCTTAGTTGCCATCTATATATGTTCTTGGTAAGGTGTCTGTTCAGGTCTTTCACCATTTTTTAATCTGGTTGTTCATTTTCTTATTGTAGAGTTTTATGAGTATTTTGTTTATTTTGGAAAACAGTCCTTTATTAGATGCATCTTTTGCAAATGTTTTCCTCCAGCCTGTGGCTTATCTTCTCATTCTCTTGACATTATTTGTGGCACATCAGGGGTGTTTAATATTAATGAAGTCCAGCTAATTTATTTATTATTCATTTCATGGATTATACCTATGGTATTGTACCTAAAAAGTCATTGCCATACCAAGGCCATCTAGGTTTTTTCCTATGTTATCATCTAGGAGTTTTAGAGTTTGTTTTTGTTGTTGTTGTTGTTGTTGTTGTTTTTGAGACACAGTCTTGCTCTGTCACCTAGGCTGGAGTGCAGTTGTGTAATCTCAGCTCACTGTAACCTCCTCCTCCTGGGTTCAAGCAATTCTTATGCCTCAGCCTCCCAAGCAGCTGGAACTACAGGTGCACACCACCATGTCTGGCTAACTTTTGTATTTTTAGTAGAGACAGGGTTTCATTGTGTTGGCCAGGCTGGTCTTGAATTCCTGACCTCAGGTGATCTGCCCGCCTTGGCTTCCCAAAGTGCTGGAATTACAGGCATGAGTCACTGCACCTGGCCAGAGTTTTATAATTTTATGTTTTATATTTAGGTCAGGGATCCATTATGAGTTAATTTTTTTGAAGGGTGTAAAATCTGTCTAGATTTATTTTTTTGCATGTAGATATCCAGTTGTTTCAGCACCATTTGTTGAAAGACTATCTTTTCTTCATATGTATTATTTTTGCTCCTTTGTCAAAGATCATTTTAATATATTTATGTATGTCTATTTCTGGCTTCTCTCTTCTGTTCTGTTGATCTAGTAGTCTATTTTTTCACCAATAACACACTATCTTGACTGTGGCTTTATTGTAAGTTTTGGAATCTGGTAGTCTCAGTCTTCTGATTTTGTTCTTCAATACTGAGTTGCCTATTCTGGACTGTTACCTCTCCATGCAACTTTAGATTCAGTTTGCTGATAGCCACGAAATAACTCTCTGGGATTTTGATTGAAATTTTGTTGACTATATAATTCAAGTTGGGAAGAACTGACATCTTGACAATATTGAG